GGGCACGGCGGGAACAGGCCTGACCTTGCGTTGAAACAATGTTGGTTGGTTTCTGATACCATAAGAATCACCGAGTGTCGGTCCATTTCTTGCACACGCATTGGTCTCCATGTTGTAAAAAAATAATTAAACTACACTCACAAGATTTATTTCAAACACAGATCTCTTTTCTCAGTCATTTTTGTCTCTCAAACTCATTGCGTGCAGTACGTGGGCTTCTCGACGAAGTTCCACCAGTGCGTCCACGTCCTCAGGTCATCCATGAAGCGCAGTCCGGGGCTCTGGGTGTCCTTGATCTGGCACGCCCCCATCAGCTGGTAGTCGCGCCGTATCTTGCCCATCTCCACGCCCCACGCGATGAACTTGCGTAGCTGGTCCCGCTGGAAGGCCGGCGGCACCGCGTTCACGAAGTTCCCGATGAGGGCGATGTTCATGGTCTTGTTGCCCCACTCCTGGGACGACACAAAAACCGGGGCAAAGCTTTAACGCGAGTGTGCGGTGGGTTCTGTGCGGGTTGTGGGAACAACCCTACTGCTCTCACCGTCAACTCGAAGTGGGCGCCCACCCAGTCCCAGCCGCGGCCCTCGTACACGACCCCGTCCCCGCCGACCAGGTAGTTGTAGCCGATGTCGTCCCAGTCCCTGCCCAGGGCGTCCTGGTGGTACTGCTGGAAGGCGCGCACCATGTTGGCGCAGTGCTCGAGGTGGAAGCAGTGGTCCGTGGCGGTGTGGTGCACGACCACGTACTTGACCGGCGTGAAGAGCCGCGGCATCCTCTTCCGCGGCGGCTGGGCGTGCCACACCTCCCTGCCGGCCAGCGTCACTCCGTTGGGCAGCGTCACGGGCCCGGCTGAGGGGGGGTCAATTTGTTCAGACGCGGGGTTTGCACTTATGGGGATGTTACATAATTGGCAGAAATCTTGGGTCAAACGTACGGACGGCGTCCTCCGACTGGTGCTGGATGAGCACCATAAAGTAGACGACGAGGATCGCGGCCAACAGCGCGATGGGTACGGCGACGCACGGCCACCGGAGATGGCGCCGCATGGCGAGGGCTGCGAACAAGGAAGGCGCTTCATATGTAGTGCCCCGTCAAATAAAAAGGTTCATTGGGTACGTCAACAGACGCACGCAAAACCTATAGGAAATCCTGATTTACGTCACACGTCACTATCTCTGACAAACAACATAACATTTCAACAAATTTTAATTCAATGTAAATGACAAAAATAGACCCTTTCCACGAAGTAATACACAGCAAGTACTATTGAGCGTATCTTTATTTCTTACTGTGATTGTGGAACGTTATCTTTTAACTGCTCGCCATTAAATTGGGGTTACTGGTTACTCAATCATACGCAGAGCACAACAAATGTGACAATACACAAATAGATTTCTCGTAATTCCGTGCAACGCAGTAGAAAAAAAAACGACAACATTTTGACGAAAACGCTCTGGTGACAAGCACTGGTGATGCTGTGTTATACTCGCTCACTTTGTGATGCCGTGAGGCTGCTCGGAAGTTCCTTGTCCTCATTCGGGTGCAGGCAGCTGAGCTTTTCCTTGGCAGCCAGGGTGGCGGCCTGGAGGGCCACGCCCGCGAGGTCTCGGTCACCGCCCGTCTTCGTGGCTGCGGCTTCATCCGGCACCAGGACGGTGATGTAGTTCATGACGCTGCCGATCTGGGCGGTGGAGTTGGCCAGAGTAATGTTCCCGATGGACGACCGGCAGCCCCGGCAGCCGTCTGAGAAGTTGGTCCAGACGCTGCCCGTCCCGGAGGAGTTGCTGCTGTCGCCGTCGTCTGTGGCGGAGCAGTAGCAGCTGCCGTCCGCGAGCGTCGCGTGGACGCGGGTCGCGGTCGGCGACGGCACCGGCGGCGGCGGGACGCTCGCGACGTCCACCAGCACCACCATCCCGTCGGGGGTCACGGTCCCCGAGGACTTGGTGGTGTATGCGGGGGGCGGGGGCGAGGGCAGGCCGCAAACGTCCCTCGGGCCCATGTTGGCCGCCTTCACACACATGCAGTTCACTGGCAAGGTTATCAGTGGCTCTGCAGACGACGCGGCGATGCGGCGCCCGGCGCCCAGTCCGGTATAAGTCACTGCGGAGACTAACCAGAGCTACTCGTCTGCTTGATGTGGCTCTGTCGGGCTGACCATAAAGTACTGTACTTTGTGGGGGGGATAAAACAGCTCCGGAGGGCAGGGGGCACTTACATCAAGAAAACTCTTTGTTCCGAGAGAAACGACATTAAATTGATAGCGCGATACTGGTGGTGCGAGAGATAGCTCGCCGTCTCACCCGCGTCAGGCAAACGAGGCGACTGATCCGCGAGTGAGCAGAGAGCCCGGGGCCCGCGGGTGGGGTTTAAGGCAAAGGCGAACGGGGGTCTTATCGGGCAGCCTGGACACGGTGCCCAAAGGACCGCGCCCCGCGCCCCAAATAACTGGTGCAAGCTGCTTCCAATTAGGCGCAAGTCACCGGCCGAAGTGCGGCGCGAGGCAAGCCAAATTCGGGTCAAGTGTCGTGTGTTATCGGTGCCGTCAATCTTGCCATCGCAAAGGTGTACCTACTTCCTCGATATACGAAACTCGCGTAAATGCCCGGGAGAAGCGCGGAGGGGAAGAGGGGGGGGGGGTAGGGGCACGTGGTATACCCACCTCCCACCTTCTCGGCCATCTGCCTGTGCCTCAGAGGTCTTAGCGATTCTTTCGAACACTACAAC